TCAACTTTGCCTTTGATGTTCAGGGCTCCTAGATTGTCATATACAATTGATTTATTTGTTGTTTCGGGTCTTTGTTGTAAGAGGGACCATAGGAAGCGTCTGACTACTCTGTCATCTTGGCCTCGGCTCCCAAACTGCCATTACTGAATATTTTGATCAAAATCTCTGTAGAAGAATGCTGATCAAAAGGACGGAAAATGTTGAACATAATTTCAAATTCTCATGGAATCCACACTTTCTGGAACCATTGAGGCTGGATGGCCCTCCAAAACTATTCCCTGAGGTAATCTTTAAACTTTAAACCAAAACTAAGCCCCTGAAATCATCTTTAATCCAAACAGTAGTTTATCTTAATTAGTAAAGAGTGTTTGCCTTGAGCATCATGCTGTTTTAAAGAATTATCTATATGTGATCAAACTGACAACAAGAACTCGAAAGGTTAGATGAGAAGTTTAGAGGGCAGTGAGTTTATTTTAATGGTGGTGGAATAATTTGGAAAAGGATAGTGAAAATGATTGTACAACTTGAAGAATGTAATTAATATCAGTGAACTGTACATGTAGAAATTGTTGAATTGGTTTACATTTTTCTATGTATATTTTCACAAAAAAGAAAGAAAGAAATCACTGGACTTATTTCTTATCTGCCTCTCTCCTTTACCTCCCCTTCTTCCAGATCCAGAATGGCAGAGTAGCAGCTGAGTTAATATTTGTTAACTACCTGTATCAGTAAGTTTCAATTAGAACCAACAATTTAATGACAGTTTCTTTTGTTCTTTTAACTCTCCCCTCAGAATACATGTGAGACACTTTATAGAGAAAATTAAAATGATGAAGATAAATTTGAAGCTAAGAATGGAAAATAATTAAAAGTGGTCAAGATAGGGAAGACCCAGAACTGGAGCAGAATGATAGTTTTGAAAGTCACATTACACATCATTGCTTGATACTGAAGAAGTTAATACAGAAGAAATTAAGAGCATAACTAATAGATACATCTCTCCCATGGATTTTATTTGGCTGATGCATCTGATTTCAGTTGCTCTTTGAAATAACATGAACCTTCTCTTTATAGGAAATTAAAGAACTCTGAATTTCACAATGAGACTTTTCTAAAAAAAAATTGGAAAAATGCACTAAAAATCCTGAATTTCTAGCACAGGCCTTTCCCAAGAGAATATATATGTATATTTAACATACCATAAGAATCAAGACTGAGACAACTTTTTGGTGTACCAGGCCAACTACTTTTAAAAGTATCTTAGAGGATCAACTTAGACATTTTTTAAATATTAGTTGCTGAAAAAGAATAATGCTGGAATTTTACTCTACTGATGAAAAAGAAGGTTCATACAAGAAAATTCAGTCTTGGTAGTAGTACAGTGGTCTTTGGCCATAATACAGGATTTGATCAAATCTTGTAAGAATGCCATGAAACTGGCAGCAGTGACTGGATATGTGGATACAGTAGCCCTTCAATATCTGGATGATTCACAAGGGTCATTCATTATAAGATGAAGGACTTGATCCAGTTTAGTCCAGCCAGAAAGGAATAATGTTCTGTAAGACAGTAATGACACCCACTGATCAGGGCCTGTCTCCTTACTACAGCTTTAAAAATTCTATGAAGTTGATTATTCGTTCACTAACTTGAAAGTGGGAGCAACAATCATTTTGAGATTTTGTACCATAATGAATTTGAGAAATGCATTCTGCAGGCAGCTTCAAGGAAATAAAAGATTGTTGGTTTTCAGAAACAAGTAAATTAGTGAAGGAACATCAAGATGTTATTAAAGACCAAGAGACTCTAAGCAAACAGTAAGGCTGTCTTAGCTAGGGTAGCAAAGTAGAATTTGAACTGTGCATTGAAAATATAGGAAAGATAGCAGCAGCAATGAAAATCCAGCCTCCAGCACAAGTGCGATTAAATGTTCATGAAGGTTGCTGTTTTGTCTAGGATGAAGACAGTGGCAGCCACATTTTCCCCAAAAGCTGATCAGCAAGTAGTTTATCTCGAAAGATTATGAGGCGTCTTCACTGAGTCAGAAGATGTGGAAAAGCATTTCCTGAAATTACTCAGGATTTAACAATTGGATGACAGTTATAAAAACCATTTTATGAATTTGGTTGCCATAGAAATGAGAGAAAGGGTATGAAGAAGCAAAAGGAGGAAGAGGAGAGAAAAGGAAATTAAAATAAGCAAAAACGAGAAGAGTCAGAGAGTGTGCTGTACTTGATCCCGCAGTGGACACCACAAGTTTCCCTGCAAAAGCAGCATAGGTATGTGAAGATGTCTTGAAAACATCTTCCCCAGACAATTGCCACTCAGTCCATACAGCTCTCCAAGATTGTCAAAACAGTTGTTTGCTTAGCTGAGCTGTTTAATGACTATCTTAATTTGGGAGAGAGGGTTGCTAGTACAGGTATCTCCCACTATCTGAAAGTAGAACATTCGTGTGAAACCTTTTTGTAAGCCAAAATGGCATAAAGTGAAGAAGCAATTACCATTAATTTTTATGGGAAAAATTTCTGAGCATTTCCAGACCCAAAAAATAACCTACCAACTCATAACCAAATAACACGTAAAAACCTTAGGTACTCTCTTAGACTTTTCTGATACCATAGGACACATCTTGTTAATGGATGCACAAAATAAATCAAGATAAAGCACAGATGCTCACAGACACAGTTCAAAGTTATGGCAGCTTGATGCTGAGATACCGAGTACTTTCCGGGGAAGGAGCTTGGCAACACCACTCCGGGTGCCCGCTGCTTTAACTGCTTGCTGCAAAACAAATGCTGAACGCTATTTCTGCTTTTAATGTTTTTACTTAAAGTGAAAATCCTCTTCAGATTTCTTTCGGTTAGCAAAAACACTAATATAGGATGTAGGTCTTTCATAAAAGTGAAGTGCATAAAGCAGGAGATACTTATATGTCCTTTGGGACTGCTGCATTGCACAGCTCTTAGGAGTACCACTCGCATTGTATCTATGTGGCCTGAACCCCTTGGAGTTATTCAAAATGGTAGCCTTGCAGAACCCAACCCACACAATTCCTGGAAAGTCAACAGGGACCACCACCATTTTCTTTAAGGTGTGGGTTAAGACAGTAAGTAAAGAAGCTCTGCCACTCCAGTCCTCAAAGAGACACAAGGTCAAAAGTCCTAGGATTCCTTCTCGTAAGAGCAAAGTAGCTTACTTGACTCAGTTTTGCATTCCTGAGGGGCACTTAGTAGGATTGGGCATCATGTAGAGGAAGTTGGACATTCCCAGCCTGGGTAGGAGTCACTTAAGCCCTCTTACTACTTCAGAACGAACAAATGTCTTGGAAGTAGTATAGCCAGGATGCTCCTTGGAAGCCAGGATGGCGAGACTTTGTCTCATGTACTTTGGACATGTTATCAGGAGGGATCAGTCCCTGGAGAAGGACATTATGCTTGGTAAAGTAGAGGGTCAGCAAAAAAGAGGAAGACCTTCAACGAGATGGATTGACACAGTGGCTGCAACAATGGACTCAAGCGTAAGAACAACTGTGAGAAAGGCACAGGACCGAGCAGTGTTTCATTCCGTTGTACACAGGGTCATTATGAGTCGGAACCGACTTGACGGCATCTAACAATAACAACACTATTTCAGACTTTTGGAGCCCAATGGGAGAGGCTGGAATCTCTTTATGATATCATCTCTCAAATTGAAATTTTGATATTAAGCAGTTGGGGCACCAGACACATGACTTTTAATTGAAAAGACATAATAATAAAGGACTTTTTTGAAGGAGAAAAACCACCTGTATCTCCAGTATCCTCACATAATTTTGAGATTTTGCATAATGTTCTCTCTCCATTCCTTGTTTATATAATTACATACTTAGTTGAAACATACTGTACATATCCATTATATATGAAAATTTAACATTATATCATGAATATTTGTCTTATTTTTATTAGCACAAAATTTTAATGGATAACACTGATACAATCTTGAAAAGCATTTAAATAGAATTTGTTTCTTTCATAAAACCGATAATATAGATACGTGCTCTCCAAACAGTAGCCACAAGCTACATGTGACTAATAAGTACTTGAAGTAAATGGTAATGTTTATATTAATTACATGCTGAAGTGATAATATTTTAGATATACTGGGTTAAAGAAAATATAGTGTTAAGTTCACCTGTTTCTTTTACTTTTTTAATGTGACTACTAGAAGATTTTAAATTATATATGTGGCTTGTGTAATATTTCTATTAGACTGTGCTGGTATAGATTATCATATACAGATATAGGACCTTAAATTTGGGGGAAAAATAAAATTTCAACAGTAAGGGAAGGATTAAATCATCTTTCATATATTTACTGAATAGAATATTGTGCAGCCTCTAAAATTATAGGTATACAGACTATGTGCAACAAAAAAAGTATGCTGATACTATTAAGTAAAGAAAGCATGATGTAAAGTTATAGAAATCTTTAAAAAAAAAAAAAAAAAAACCTAGAAATTTTTCCAAAATGCTAACTGGAGATAGTTTTTGAGATAGGATTACAAGTGAAGTGTTTGTTTTGTTTTTCCTTTTCTTTATTTTCAAAGGTAAAAGTATGCTTTCGTATCTTTTTTCACACGGATATATACTAAAGCCATAAAACTTTTCTTTTTTTATTAAAAACAATCAGTGAGTAAACACTGATCAAGAAGGAGAAGGTGGTAGATTAGTGTTCTCAAAGTGGCTTTGTGGAGAAAGGAGCAAGCCAACCATGCCTTCTCTCCCCCTACTCACTGGAAATGAGAGAAAGTGAAACTCCAGAAGAGACGGTAGTTGATTAATATATATTGTGTCTGTAAAAGAATGAAGGAGGAACATTTACATCTTTTACTGCTTTGAAAAATGTAGAAAAAGATTAGAAAACAATCTAAGATTCTTTAAAAAGAATTACAGCTCTGAAAATGACTCGCCATGTTTAAATGCTTACTCTTACTAAATATTATTTTTTATTCATTTACAGATTCATGATGTTATGGTCTAAAGTTGAGAAATCATCAGAAGAAATCATGGAAATAATGCAAAATTTAAGTAGTATACAGGTCTGCTTTTTTTTTCTTTTTCATATAACTTTTTAAACGTCTAATTTTTCATGTGTTCTTTGGAAAAGAAAAGAAGCCCCAAAATGAGAATCCAGTCCAGGAAAGTTGTTGCAGGGGAAAAGTTCAAATTACTTTTGATGAGAATTTCTTTTCTTATCTGAATATTACTTAACCATAATATTTTAGTACTATCTGGCTTTTTCACATTTACAAATGTGTAGATTATGTTTAGCCTCTTTAGTTAATTTTATTTTTACTCAGGCATTTTGGGGCTTGTAATAGTTGACCTACCAGAAAAGTTAAATTTCCAAACATAGAATTTAAGTTTTTCAAATGCAGAAAACAATTTACTGTGTTTAATATATTCTCTAGATTGTCAGTAATTTTATATTTGTAGAGAACTTAGCTCATTTAACATGACTTTCTTTTAGGCTTTGAAGGGCAGGAAAGAGCTTGAAAACCTCATTGGTATCTCCTGTGCGTCCAGTTTCTTACAAAGAGAAATGCAGAAAACCAAAGAGCTAAGTAAGAAGAATTCATAAGTTTTCAGTGGTGGTTTTGAAATAAACCTATTAACTTTTCCCAAATTTAAATTTGATAGACTTCTTTATGTATGCCATTGTGGACATGGGATAGAAATCCTAATGCTTCATTGAAATAAGAAGTCATGTAGCTTTTACCAGGATATGTTATTTGGGGGACACTTCTTGAATATGAAGGGAAAGACTGTACCTTGACAACTGGTAGTAGACTTTTTATTTAGTGCTCATTTTTAAAATAAAATATAAAATACTGTATATTATACTTGATTGCTATATTACTTTGAATTATTTTTTCTCATGTTTTTTCTAAGCAATGAGAAATTATTCATATTCCATATTAATTCTTAACATGGGTTTTTTTTTTTTTTAGTGAGAAAAGTAACAAAACAAAGACTGTTTGAAAAGAGAAGTACAGGACTTCCTAACAAAGGTAAAGAGTTGTTTTAATTTATTACATAAAGATATCCTTTCTTCTCATATTATCATTTTAAACTAATCATCATGACTCCTTTTTAGTGTGTTCTCTTAAAAGACCATGAATCTCATTTGAAAAACCTTATATAGGGTCACTGTGAGTTGGAATCGACTTCATGGCAACGGGTTTGGGTTTTTTTTAAGATATTGCATTTAGCAGAAGAGCAAGTCTGATGAGACCAACTTCCCTGATGAGTGGGCTTTTTTAATGTCCCTTAATATATAATGTTCAATTTACAATTTAAATTTCATCTTTTTATTAAAAATGCTTTTTTGAGAATACAGACAGATTGGGGCAACAATGCCTTAATATACCACAGTTTTTAACGGGTACATTAGAAGACTACACAAAGAATAAAAAGTTATTCTGTAACCAGTGTGCTGGAGGAGGGGCATTATTAGCGTTTGACTTTCTGAGAACTCTTACGCTTCAGAGCATTTCATAATATGGGAAACTAAATTAAAATTTTGTTTGTTCTCTATATTGTTAACAAATAATCTGTTAATTATGTATATCAGATTGTCTTAGTAATTTTATTTTTTATTCTTTCAATTTTCAGTCAGAAAAGGAGTCTAGCATCCATTCAACAGATTTCCTTTTCACATCCAAATGACAGAAATCTACATTCTCATTTTCATTTTTAAGTTCCCATAGGACATATATCTAAATCTCTTCACACCTCAGTAAACAAAATAATTCTGGACTGAAAAATACTAAAACCTTTGGACTAACTTAAAGTGATCATTTTAATAGTATTGGCATGGGTGCCATTTAACAATCTCTGCAAATGGAGTTAGGTCTTGAAATAGGTAGCCATATTTTAGTCTACCATTTACTGAGTATCAATGACTCTTGTTTATTGAGTACCAATAATTATGTTCCCAATACTAGGATCAGTAGATCTTTATAGCAACCCTGCAAAATAGCTATTATCAGACAGGGAAACAAAGACACAAAAGATGTTAAGTAACTTTCCCAAAGACACTTCTACTTAATTGACAAAACAGGGATTCCAACTAAAGACCTGTCTGACCTCAAAAACTGTGTTTTCAACCCATCTAGTCTGTTAGTCTGGGTTTAGAACCTTTAAGAAGCCAGTGATGAGTTTGCAGTGGAAAGTGCTGGGATTCCCAGCTGGTCAGTTAGAAAGGCCAGCCAGGTCATGGGTAGGGCAGCTGCCATGGCAAGACTCCTCCTTCACAGCTCATGTGGAAAAGGCTTCGTGAGACTTTCAGTTGAGCAGCTAACGTCCCCAGTGATCCCAAGAATTTAAGAACATGACAGGAGCTACTTCTTGGAAAAGGCTTGGAAGCTCTTCTTTCATATTTTATCTATATAACTTGATTAGAATGTGTAACTAGGTTTCAGTGATTTAAACTTCTCCTAACTTGACAAGTCTTAGAGGAGCATAATGGGAAATTGGAATGTTTATTATTTTCTAACTAGAAGAAATATTTCATCTATATATTCTGTGCCAATAGTGTGGTTTTTAAAATCTCTAATTTCCTAGAACTAATTAAAATTAGGCTTCACATAGTTGGCTTTTGCCAGTAGTTTTGGGAAATGAGAAAGGGAAAAATTGTAAAAGAAGTAAGTGAATTATCACTGCTAATAATTAATGTAAAAAAATTCTAAAAGTATTATTCCCCAAACATTTATTAAGACATTAAAACTATAACCTGTCTGTTAAAACATTAAAAAATTTTTTTCTTCCAGAGGACAATTTTGTCATCTTTTTTAAGTTATCCACTATATACCAATTCTTTCTTTGCTTATGCATGATCAACCTTACAACTATTTTGTAGTGTTTTAGGCATTAAAACTAACTTGCCCATTACTAGGTTCATAGGATTTAAATTGTTTCATGCATAGAGGAGATTGTATCACTGAATCATGTTTTAAAACTTCTAATAAGCATTGATTATTTGTTGTATTTAAATGAAAACTGAATTAAAATATATATAATATATAGCATTTATATAATGCATATTATATAATAATATTATATATATGTAATCTTCAATTTCTGTTTCTCAGCTAGAGCTACCTTAGCTCTTTATATTCCTTGAGGTATTAAAATCGTCATTAGCTTTTTAAACTAATTTAAACTAATTTTTGAAAATTAATGTTACCTGACAAACAGATTGCTTACTTTCTTTGTAATTTGAGTTTGAGCTATATACCATATTTTTATGCAAATAACACATGGCTTATACTTTTTTTCCCCAACCGTGCCCTCCTCCCGCGAGGTATTTTCGTAAGTGTGCTATGCTAATTTTTTTACAGCAATGTGTAAGGGCGTGGTTGGCAAAAAACGTGTAACATGCACATTATTTGCATAAAAATATGACACATAATTTTTTTTTTAACTAAGCTAACAACTTTCACCCCCTTCTGTTCATACATTTATTTTAAGAGATCTTTTGCTAATTTTTTGACATCTCAAACTTAATTTGCTTTGTATGTTCCTTATTTTGGTATCTAGCCTTCAGCTTTTTTGTTGATGTGCTTTTCTTTTACTATGCTACTATTCAGAATTATTTAAATTAAGAATGTTTGTGGAATCTTCAAAATTTTAGAAATTATATAATTAGAAAGTATATAAAATAAACATTAGTCCTGTAATATGTATTGAATTTGTCTCATTAGGTAATTAAGAAAATGAGAATAAACAAATTACTTGTTTAACTATCAAAAGAATGTCCTTCAGATTCTTATAATATAGGCAATACCAGGAGAATTCCAATATTTATGCTGTCGTCACCCCTTCAAATTGGCCTTTTAGATCTATTGCTTGTTTTTCATTTCAGTGCTAGTTCCTTTTGTTTAACATCAGCTGTAGTCTTTATTACATGAAGAGGAGTGTAATTATAAAAATAACACTCTAGTGTTTTACATAAGTAAACATCTGACACACACTCTGAAGGCTTTATATAACTTACTGAAAGGAAATTTAAAACATACACAATACTGTGAAAAGGTACAACTGAGATATTCATAGTTTTCAGAAAAACTGGACCTTGTAAATCAAGGAATGCCTTGATAGAGTGTATGAAAAAGAGACGATCTCAATAAATACAAATTTCTTAAAGAAAGCTTCTTTCTTTCCTCAGTTACTTAGGAAGTAAGCCTAACTTCACTCTCCTTAATAATATTGGCTTTATGACTATTAGGAAAATAATAAAATGAAAGGTTCTTTTATTATTAGATTTGGATGTGAATTTTCATAATTATTTTTAATTTGTTATGCTGAAGATTTAAAACATATGACTGTTCATTGGGTTGATACAGATGGAATGTCACATTATCATCACATGGTAAGGCATGAAATTTATTTACTTTACATAATCAGCCTCTACTTAAAACAACTTCATACAAATACCCTTAGTCAATAGATGGCATTATACAGTGCTCAGTTCTTTCATTTTTTCCAGAGATACTAAAAAATACCATCATTGTTTGTCTATGACTAGTAAACAAAATATTTTTGAAAAGAATGTAAGCAAATTGTAGAACAGTTGCCAAGATATGAAATCTAGACACTTAGCTTCAGTCCAAAACATATTTTATCTGCTTTGAGAATAACTGTGTAGGTTGCAGTATGCATATTTTAAATGAAAATGTAACCATCTGAACTTCACATTGTTCAAAAAAGTTGACTGTTTCAGCTGTTTATAATAGAAAATATTTCAGAATTTCTAGCTCTGGCCTTAAACAGAAAGTACAAACTATAATGTTCCTGTTTCCTTTAGTTAACTTACTGTGTTCTTACATTGTAAAATTCATCTTGGTTATAGGATTTTAAAGATAGCAAATTCTTAGACTACAGGACAAATTTTAAACTTCTCATGTTCTAAAACTATAAAATAGTTTGATATTGCCTTTTCATTCTAACTACCTACTGAAGTATTTTTTAAACTTAAAAATAAATTGTTTTTCCCCACTCAGTCTTGAAAAAGTATTCATCATATCAGCTAAATGATTTTACTCCCAGAAGACTACTACCCTTGTATTTTTTCTATTATATCTTAACATTAAACAGTATCTTTTTTTCAAACAGATACTTCAATTTTAAAAGCACTGAGGTTTGAAGTTGAGACATGATGAGTTTTAGGAGAAACAACAAAAATTCCCCCTTATGTTTTAACATTCTGGGTTTACCTGAAGGTTAAAAAATGGAGCTATTAATTTTGGTGACACAAATATACATTAATGTACAACTGTAGTCCTCAGCTCTGTATAAGGATTCAGCTGTCATGTATGCTGTATGTGGGTGATGCCTTTCCTATTAATAATGGTAATGTTCTTGTTTTACACTATTCATCACTGTTTGGGGTATACATTTCGACTGCTGAAAATGCTTACTTGAGATTTGTCTAGGACTGAAGGAAAAACAAACTGGCTTATTACTTTTCAAAGCCTTTTAAATAATTTCATCCATGATTTAAATTTTTTTTATACTTGACTATAAGTATAGTTTTTGTCTTTTAAATAATCAGTAAAAATTTTAGAGCCATAGATTTGAACTCACTTAATAGCAATTATGTGTTAAGGAGGTGTAAATAACTTACTATCAGACATTACAAATATCCAGGTGCTCTGTATGTGCTGATGACAACAAAATTGAAAAGGCTGTAATAATTCTGACTGGTTTTCTCTGCAGAAGATATTGATTATTTGTGTGTGGTGAGAGATTTGGAAAATTCAATTAAAGGAGTTGTGCAAAGGTTTCATAAATTTTCCTCCTACAGCGTGTACACAGACATTGTTGCGTATTAAATCAATGCAGCACTTTACAATATATTTTCTTTGAAACATAAAAATAAATAACATTTAAACAGTTCTGCTTACTACAGAAACAAATTTTATTTTCTGTGAAGCATTTAGTCATGTGCTATCACTGACTCATACACATTTGCCAGCTGTAACAAATTTTATAGACATTTTCTCCAGAGACATATCTCACATACTATGAATTTTTAAATGAGCAAATGGTGAAGAAGGGATGTCAGCAATATAAAAATTGATCAGTTAAAAGATAAAAGCATAAGTAAAGAGATTTGTATGGTAGTCTTAATAGGTTTTATTAAATAAAAATACTATAAAAAGACAGTAATGAATAGACTGAAGACTAACTGTTCTGGAGGTAGAGAAAAATTATTCTGGCACATTTAGTAGCAATTGGTTTTGTATCACATGATGAGTGAACATTTTTTTTTCCCATTTTAACTCTCAGAGTAGTCAAAAAAGCCTCCCAAAAAGGGGTTAAATAAATTCTCTAAGTGGTTTATATATTTTAAACATGTATATAATCATAGATATTTATAATTGTGTAAGTAATTATATACTTAAAAGCAAGACTTTTGTAATGAGTGAATATTAGGTGATTTTTCCTCCAGCTCAGACCTCTGGTAGGAGGAAGATGGTCATTTTTATTCACACTATTCAGACCATATGCTTCAGCCCCCAAGAATCTCTCTCCTTTGCAACTCCAGGTCTCTCTAATGCTTTTTCCTCTATCTAGATTGCGATTTTTTCTGTCGAACGAACTCTTGCTGGTCCTTTAAGGTCAGCCTCAAATGTCACATCCTTTGTGAAGCTACCCCCAGCTCTCCTACATAGCTCATCGAGTTGACTCTGACTCACGGCAACCTTATGTACAATAGAACGAAACTTTGCCCAGTCCTACGGCATCCTTGTAATCGCTGGCATGTTTGAGCCTGTCATTGCAGCTTCTGTGCCAATCCGTCTCACTGAGGAGCTCCCTCACCCTCACTGGCCCTCTGCTTCACCAAACATGATGTCATCGTCCAGCAGTTGATCCCCCCTGATGTCATGTCCAAAGCAAGAGAGTTGGGCAGGGTTCTGTTGTAATCCGTAACGTTTTCATTGGCTAATTTTTGGAAGTAGATCACAAGGCCTTTCTTCCTAGTCTGACTTAGTGTGGAAGCTCCACTGCAACCTGTCCCCTGTGAGTGACCCTGCTGGTATTTGAAATACTGGTGGCATAGCTTCCAGCATCACAGCAACATATAAACCATCACAGTACGACAAACTAACAAAAGGGTGGTGGCCAGCTCTCCTAGGCAAAGCTAAACTGCTTCATCTAGGCACCCACAACACTTGTCTGAATGTTTATAAATGCTGTAGTGTGTTGTAACTGTCTGTTTACAAAGCTCTTTCTGAGCTTCTTTGTGGAAAGAAAAAAAAAAAGTCTTACTCATTTCTATATTGTAACCCAGAGCCTAGGATGGAAGGTCCACAAGGCATGTTCATGGCATGACTGCATAAATGAAAACAAATGGTCACTACAAGAATACTTTAAAGGAATTATCTAAATATTTTCAAATACTTACAAATTTCTCTCCTTATACATCTCAAGTGTGTTTATTCATTTATTTGTTCATTAATATTTATTGAATGCCTACTATGATCTAGGCAGTATTCTTGCATTGGGGACACACTGATGAGTAAGAGAGATATAGTCTTGCCCTCAAGAGTATAGAATCTAGAACAAAAGACAATTATAATAAAGCATAAAGAGTATATTAATAGTGGCAGTAGGAATACATCATAATATATTTCTTGGCAGTTTCCATACTAAATTTAAAAGTGTATGTTCTGAAACAGGCATCAGGCAAAATGGTAGGATCTTGAAACGAAAATTTATAGTCCCACAGCTGCTATTTGTAATGTAAAACATACGTTTACCTTTAAGTTGTTTATCTTATTTTCATTGTGATTTAGTGGTTATTCTGTATTATATACTGTGACAAGTTACTCTGAACTGTTTTCTGGAAAAAAAAAAAAATCTTTCTTCTTCTGTACAGAATTACGTCACCTTGACAGCTATGAATTCCTTAAAGCCAGCTTAAACTGAGGTACTGTTTTGCCTTTCTAATTATGTTTAGCTTTGTTAAATTTCACCGTTTTGTTCAGGTGGGAACGTTTGATTCACATTATCAGATTTGGTATTGTCTTTCCATAAAGAAAATGGGGACGTGAGCTTTGGAGCTTTAGTTGAAATTAATCTATTCTTATAAATAACAGGGCTCTGACAGGATCTGTCTAATAAATGATTGAAAAAGAACACCAAACAATGAAGAATAATGATGAGTCCATGAGACATCGTATAACATGGATAAATTTGGAGCACATTATGCTGAGTGAAATAAGTCAATCACAAAAGGAAAAATATATGATACCACTTTTATAAAAAGTCAAGAATAGGTTTACACACAGAAAGCAACATTCATTGATGGTTACCAGGGATAGGAAGGGGAGGGAGGGAGAATCACTTACTAGATAGTAGACCCATGTTAATGCTGGTGAAGGAGAAGGCAGTGCACAATATGGGGGAAGTCAGCACAATGTGACCAAGGTAAATGAGACACTGAGAGGTATGCAAGAACTACAGTAAACGCTGTAACATACACAGTTCTGCAACAACAGTTATAACAACCAAAAATCTGAGTGGTTACATAGGTAGATATTTACGCTATATAGGTGTGGAAGGGCATATGGGAGTACGTGTGTGCGTATATAGTTGTGGATATTTGTATATACATATATGTATTACTGCATATATATTCATATATATATTAGAAGCACATGGGGGCACAGTTAAGGAAACTTCCTAGACATATCCAAACACCTCATGGGACTGA